ATAAAATATGCATTTGCTATTAATTACACAGAATAATTTACTGTATTATCAAAGTCCACAGTGTCCTCCTCTTCAACTTGTACCAATATACTGTATGTCAGAATTAGTTGGAAGTAGTTTAGTAAATTATACTTCCTGAGGCACATGATTGATGTTCTAATGCTGTGGCCTACTAGCAAATAAATGAATAAGATAGATTCAAAGGTGACTGCAGCAAGATATCACAGTTATTTTTAGCGCTCACCAAAATTGCCTTGAAAATGTACTCCTTTAGCAAGGAAAGATAAAGAAGAATATTGAATATGACTCCCTCAAGCAAACTGATCATGCCTTCTAGTTGTTTATGTTAACATGCTAGTTTCTTAATTGCATATAAGGAAGAAGGATGAACATTTGCACATTAGCTTCTGCCTGCAATTTAAACCAGAACAGTGATTACCAAAAGCCATGTCCTCTATTGCTAGCAAGAAGAAGGGAATCAGCTTACATTAGTAAATAGCAGGTGGAGGCTTAGTAGTTCAGAATGGCTTATTTAAAGCAAAACAAGATGCCATTTGTTCATATAGTTAATATCCATGTGGCAAACATCCCTGGAAGAGCCTGCTTGTGACTGCCCAAGAACACGTATGGTCTTGGCTGCTATTAGAAACAGAATGTTGGATAACACGGAGATTGTTTGAATTCCAGAGGTTGGTTATCATATTGCAAGGGCTTTTTATTTAGCACTGATTCTGATATACAGCAATAAGTGCAGATAATGGCATTTCAAGAACAGATTGAAATTTCTCACGCAAAAGAATTATGGCAACCCAAAGCATTCACAATGTCTCAAAACTGCGTGTCAGGAAAGCAATGAAGTATTAACCTAAGTCTGGCTTCAGAAAATCACACTGTGAAGTGCTGAAAGAGAATTTATATACGTGACACTGGCCAGACTGTCTCTTGTTCGGGAAATCATAAAGCCTCTGTTCAGTGTAGAAATTCAAATTAAAGCATCCTCAACAGAATAGCTGTCTAGTGTTACATGGATGCATCCAGTTTTGTTGCACTTGACTAAGTAACCAGTATCATTATCAGCTGCTCATTTTATTAGGAACCTGTCTTTCTATAACTGGAGACTATTATCCATACCCTGAACTCTTGGAAAATACAGTGCTACATGTTCACCTTCTTATGTGAATTTTCCTTTGATGCTCTTGAAGTGTCTCATTCTATTCTTCATTTCAAAATTAATAATTCCCAGTTATTTCGGTCTTTTGCTGAAGTACTCTAGTTTCTGTTTTTTAAAACAGACTTCCATTATCCTGGTCTGTATTGTTCTTTGCAGATGAATATCCCTAAATCAAGGCAAAGTCCAACTAATGTAGAACAAAATGGAGATAGTACTATTTATGTATTTGTATCCTGCCTTTGTTGCTTTTACAAATACTGTAACTCAAGGTGAGTTGGGCTGAGAGAGAGCGAGTCACCGAAAATCACCCAGCTGGCTTTCATGGCTAAGGCAGAACTAGAATTCACAATTTCTTGGTTCTCTAATTTGGTGGATCAAAGTGGCTAATTCCTTTTTTTCCTTTGTAGACTTGGACAGTTTTAAGTGCACAATTAATGACAACAGCAGAAGAAATACTGTCCAGCTGACATGGTAGTAGCAGTGGTGGGTTGCTACCAGTTCTCCCCGGTTCTTTCGAACCGGTAGTGGAAATTTTGAGTAGTTCGGAGAATCGGTAAATACTACCTCTGCCTGGCCCCGCCCCCAATCTATTTGCAGCCTCCCAAGTCCCAGCTGATCAGGCTAGAAGGAAAAAAATCAGGGCTCACTTGACAAAGAAGAGAAAAAAAAACCCAAGATACCTTAGCTTTAAATTGAGAAACCAAGAAGCCTCCCAACTGATCGGCTAGAACCGATCTGCTCCTTGTAAACCGCTCAGTGGTGGTAAATTGGCAATTGAGGCCAAGCTGCCTGAAAGTGGTTTCCGATGCTCTTGGTGGTGGTAGAGCGGCAAAAAACTGTTTAAACTCTTGCCGCAGCGCTTCAAAGGGCCGCCCTACAGCTGATCAGCGGTAAAAGGCAGTGTGGTGGTAGACCAGTGCGCTCCAAAAACAAATGGGTAGACCGGTACGGCTCTGCAAGCAGTTAAAAGCCTGGTAGACCAGTACCTCTGCTCAGTCCTAAAGAATTGTTTGTCACATGACCATCAAACCATGCTCACAAAATAAGCCACGCCCACAGAACTGACAGTAAACAATTTTAGAACCCACCCCTGGGTAGTAGGTAGTAAGGACAATAACAGAGATTGCTGTTTCTTATTTGTACAGGTAGTCCTCGACTTACAGCAGTTTGTTTAGTGACTGTTCAAAGTTACAACGGCTCTGAAAAATGTGACTTACGACCATTTTTCAAAGTTACAACCTTTGCAGCATCCCCATAATCATGTGATCAAAATTCAGACGCTTAACAACTGGTTCATATTTATAACCATTGCTGTGTCCCAAGGTAATATGATCACTTTTTGTGACCTTCTGACAAGCAAAATCAATGGAGAAGCCAGATTCATTTAACAACTAGGTTACTAATTTATCAACTGCAGGGATTCACTTAACAACTGTGGAAAGAAAGATTGTAAAATGGAGCAAAATTTACTTAACAAATGTCTCACTTAACAACAGACATTTTGGGCTCAGCTGTGGTTGTAAGTTGAGAACTATCTTTATTTTATACTTTCTAAGATCATTTGGGTATAGAAGCATTTTTGGTGCTGCATTACTTGCACAATTGACTATGTATGTATGTATTCTCACACCTGAAGGCTGCCTGCAAATTTTGTCTGGTTCCATTTAGTCATAAAAGAGAGTGCCTCTCATTTAAAAAGATGTTTTCTGCAACTTCCATATTAACAGTCTGCCCAAATGTTGTACATCGGCTTTAAGCTTCTGTTTTATGATTATAGCTACAGCTATTTATTTTCATTAATTGTTTTTAACTGTTGTTTTGCATTACGATTATGTTTTATATTTTAAACCCTAAAGCGTTTAAAGTATTCCTTTATGTCATCCCAACAGCTACCACTTTTGTTACCAAGGTAACATAAGACATTTTGATAGCTGGAGCAGAAAATTAAAGTGGTAAACCCACTGTCAAGCTAGACATAGAATAAATTTAATCAGTGCTGTCCAACCAACTTGACCAGTGTACTTAAATCAAAATAGAAAGCAGCACTCCTGGAAAACGAATACCGCAAGTCTCCAGCACTTATGTTGTTTGAGGTGATCCTGCTTGCAGTCTGCATTATTAAGTATGGTGAATGATGGATGGGAGAAACGCCATACTCTTAACAGTCTACAGTGTCAATGTGAATGATTGACAGATAATTATGGGGCAGCCACAGAGAAGGCCCTCCCCCACGGGCCCGCCAGCCAGCATTGTTTAGCTGACGGGACCCTGAGGAGACCAACTCTGTGGGATTTTACCGGTCACTGGGAGCTATGCGGTAGAAGGCGATCTCGAAGATACCCTGGCCCTGAGCCATGTAGGGCTTTAAAGGTAATAACCAACACCTTGAATTGTGACCGGAGACCAATAGGGAGCCAATGCAACTTGCGGAGAATTGGTGTAATGTGGGTGTACCTAGGTGCATCCACGACAGCTCTCGCGGCTGCTTTCTGGACCAACTGTAGTCTCCGAACACTTTTCAAGGGTAGCCCCATGTAGCAATAATCTAACCGTCAGGTGACAACATCCCCCAAACTCCGAGGCTTGAAGTTCCTCAAAGTTCCATTTTATTAGAGATGTCATATTGGCACATCTGGGAAAACCTGAATCTGAAAGCTTCCAGGTTTCCCCACCCAAAGGAAAGATCAAGTCCCTGCCCAACACCCACATGTCCATCACATGGCCCAATCCAAGCACCGTCCCAACTGGAGATGTCTCCCAGTTCCAGCCTTCTAGGTGCAGGGCAAGATGTCTTTGACTTTCTGAGAAAGGAATGTTATTATGACTATATAACATTCCTGCTCCATACTATCCTCCTTACCAGTTTCCCACAGTAGTAAATGTGGCAGGCCTGAAGATCCAACGCAAAAGATGGCTTCCAGACCTGACAGTAGGAAGATTTGCTCTAAAACAGGGGTGTCAAACTCGTATTGTCACTTTGTTGTCACATGACCTATCGTGACTTTTTTCCTCTTTGTTAAAATGGGGGTCGGCATGGTCAGTGTGTGACACATCTGGCCTGTGGGCTATGAGTTTGATACCCCTGCTCTAAAGCATTTATCATTTTAAGAAAGAAAGAGGGTGGGGAGAGAATCTATTGTACTGTTTTGGCATCTTTTATTACCTACCTCCTTGTTTCTTCATATATTTGTAACTTCTAATATATTGCATCATGTTCTTATCTCCTGTATGTTTGACATGTCCTCTCAAGGGGGAAAAGAAAATCACTGCAATGGCTCGAATAAAACAATGGTTTTCAAATAGGTTATTTTTATTCATGGAGAAAAAGAGAATTGCCTTTTGATGTTTCAACTGCTGGGCTAAGCGCAGTCTTTAGATTTTCCATTTGAAGGTATGAATGTTTTAAGTTAAAGGCTGGTTTTGAATGGCTGGTTCTTAAAAAAAAATTTCTTTCCTACCTTTTATCTTTAGTAAACAAAGTGATTGCTGTCAGTGGGAAGAAATATTGAACAGCTGGAATGAGACTTTCATTATCCCCTATTATGAGATGAAATCTCGCATTTTAAAAATGGCAGTTCCCACTGGTGACTTGTAATACAGAGGAAAGCGACAGACAGACAGACAGACAGACAGATGACAGATAGGTGATATATTGATAGTAGTTAAAGATAGAAATGATAGATAAATAAATGATAGGTGATAGGTAGATATTGGTAGATGATAGACAGAGATAGAGATAGAGAGATAAAGAGAGGGGGGATGGATGGATGGATGGATGGATGGATGGCCATTTTCTTACTGAAGAAACTATTCTCTTTCTTTCAAACAGACATATTCCAGATACAGAATTTGGGTCTTCATAAACAGAAGAGTTCCTTCTCTTCACAAAAGTCAGCAGATGTATTCTAGTCTAAAGTATGTTGCTGGAATATGTGGAGAAAATGACTTTTAAAAGTAGGAGAAAACATTATGTTCCCCACCTTGAGCTCCAGTACCATACGGTAAGTATGGCAGTATTATTTACTAACTTTAGTCCATCCAACCTCCTAGATAACATATGAAGAGTCTACCAAAGAACTTAGCCCTTCCATATCACTATTAATGGATTCAGACCCAGCCTCCAGTGACTGACTTTTGAAGTTTTGAACTTAAAAAAGACCCATAGATGGGTCTGAATAACACCACATCTCTAATTAACAACTAAAGCAATATAGCTATAATGAATGCATATCATTGGCAATGCCTTTGCTCTGACCATGCTGGGATCATGATCAAATACAATAACTAGTATAGAACTCCAATAGAAGAGATATGTAGCTCCTTGTAGGAAACGATCAGGCTAAGCCCAAGGGCAGGATCAAACACATAATCTACCGCTGAAAGAGACCTAAGTTCAGCCCCACCTTGAAGTCCAGTGACTCATTTTTTTTTTAAGTGATGCCAGATAAGTGACTCTTATCTGGCACCAATTTGCCTTGACCTTTGGTAGATCAGATTCTTGTCTATAGGTTGCATTGCATTGAATAAACTTGCAGTGCTTTTGGAGTCTATCCTGGCTCCTGGTTTCCCACACCTGATACTTCCCAGTCATAGACCTGGTTGGAACAGATCGCATTGGGAACACCAGTGTCACAATCCATGGCTATAATTTATAGATTAAAGCTGGACATAAAGTAGACAAGTCTTTATGATCTCTGAAACTCTGGTCCAGTGACCCTACCACCACATATTTATTTATTTATTTATCATTTGGTCAATTTATTAGTCCCCGGAATATGCTTTGTCTCCAGTTTGCCAAACAACATTGGCCCTGAAGCCATAAACATCATGCCAAACCCCAGTCCTGCTATGCCTTTCCTGTGAAGTAACCAAGCAACCGACCAGGAACTGGATTGGACAGCGTGACCAGTGATTTGGGCGAAAGGGGAAACTTTTACTTTTTAATTAGGTAAAAGCCGCAGGAACTTTAGAGTCAGCTTTCACCAGTTGTGCCATGATGTATGATGTTTCCAGTAAACTGTTCTTTGGGGAACTTGCCTGCCTCAGAGTTCTCCTTTCTATGGGTACATTACTTGGAACGCTGACACTCCTTATGAGTCAGCTGAGTCCTCCTTCTTGGTACATGCTATACAGTGGTGATTTTTTTTTACTACCGGTTCTGTGGACGTGGCTTGGTGGACGTGATGTGGTGTGGCTTGGTGGACATGGCAGGGGAAGGATACTGCAAAATCCCCAATCCCACCCCACTCTGGGGTCAGCCGGAGGTGGTATTTGCCGGTTCTCCAAACTACTCAAAATTTCCACTACCGGTTCTCCGAACTGCTCAAAATTTCTGCTACCAGTTCTCCAGAACCTGTCAGAACCTGTTGGATTTCATCCCTGAATGCTATAGTTTAATCTCAAGACCCCACCTTCAATAGCTTTTATAGCTCTCGCTGATGAGAAAGTCTGGTAAGTCTACAGTAAGTGGGAGGATTTGTCAGTCCACAGTTATCAGACTAAGAAGATATTTTAATTAACAATTTTGGAGTTACAATATCAGGGTTTTTTTTTGTTTGTTTGTTTATTCACTTAAACGATGTTTCAGTCACAAAGGGGTTTCTGATTTTAGCTTAGCTCTTCTGTTATTATCTTATTTTCTTGGCTTTTAGTAGTGAAAATAATTGGTATCCTGCCTCTTAGCTCAGTCAAAACTTAGAATGTATGAAGTCTTTGAATAATTTGTGTCATTCATGAAAGTTTACTGAACCTCATTAGGAAGGGCCTCTTCTACTTTATGGTCTGTAACAAAATGTCACCCAAGATGCTCCATTATTAAAGGCCTTGCTCAGATTCATATGCAGAAGTCCAGCCTCATCAGTTTACCAGACTAAATTTGGCAAAACATCATTTATCCAAGTGATTTTTTTTTTTAGAAAACATGAAAGAAGCTGTCCAGGACTGGGTAGGACCTTAGCTTATCATAGAACATAGAGTACAGAATCATAAGTCTGGAAGGGACCTCATAGGTCTTCTAATCCAACCCCCTGCTCAAGGCAGGAGCATTATATCATCCCATCATCAAATGGTTGTCCAGTCTATTCTTGAAAATCTCCAATGGTGAAACACCCACAACTCTAGAAGACAAGCTGTTCTATTGATCAATGGTTCTGATTGTCAGAAAATTTCTCTTTACATCTAAATGGAATCTTTTTTTAACGAGCTTCCTCCCATTACTTCTTGTCCAGTCCTTTGGTGCCCTAGAGAATAAGTTAATCCCCTCTTCTTTGTGACAGTCCCTCAAGTATCAGAACAGCATTTCCCAACCTTTCCACATTGGCAGACCAGCATGGGGGGAAGGGGAAGAAGAGGGAGAAGAGGGGATGGGTTTGTGTGAGGGGCAGGTGCGTGTGTGCATGTGCCCAGCTTCATTTGTATGAGTGGCAGGCATATGCCGATTGGGGATGTGAGTGCCAGTGCCCGCAGTTTGAATAAGTGGGGCTGCAAGTGCCGGCCCGCCACTGTGAATAAGTCACAGCCCGTAGATTGGGGATCCCTGTACTAGAAGACAGTGATCATGTTCCCTCTAATCCTTTTCTTTTCTCATCATGTGGGATTAAGATAATTTTTAGACTATAAAGCTGTGGATGAATAATAGATGGGATTATTGTTAGAAAGAAGAAGAAAAAACAGCTTTGAAAGAAACTACACCTGTTGGAGAATATCCAGTTTAAAATGTTATTTTTTAAAAAAACAGGAATGAAAAAATGAAAATATTCAAGTCATTGTAATAAGTTATGCAACTCATAACAGGGTGTTTCAGTTGTTAAAGTTTCCATGGTGACCTCATTCACATCTCTAAAAACCTGTCTGGCTAATTTCAGAAATACTTCATTAAATAATGTCATATTACGTTATGTGCACAATAGAAAGATATCCAATGGAATTAATACATGTAAAAGTTGTGGGATAACAGCTGCCAGAAAAGACAGGTGTTTTCTCTCCTGAAGCCACATAACGTTGAGAATCCTTTACTGTAAGCTCTGAAGGATTTGTGATATACAATTAGGATTGCATGTCATTCGATTCTTTGTCCTTCAAATCAAATCAAACCAGATCAGAGCAAATCTTTATTACATTTCATAAACCAGCATAGTTTGTTCCTTCAACTTTCTGAAGTTACTAAAACCAATTTCAAGGTGCATGACCTTTGCCAACAGTATTGCATTAAACCATGCAATTATCTGTTAATGGGGATGACATAAATGACCATAAAACTAAATAATATATTACCAAAAACAGCACAATCCAAATTAAATAATAAACATAAAGTATAAACATAAACATAAATCAGGAAGGATAGATTACTCTCTCTCTCTCCCTCTCTCTCTCTCTCCCTCTCTCTCTCTCACTCACTCTCACACACACACATCTCTCATCTATCTCTAATCTACCTATATTAAGAAATGTAGCTGAGAAGTTATAAATAAACTTAAATGCAAAGAAAAAGAGGGAGAGATGAAATGGGAATCCATTCTCGAGCTCCTAAAGACCTTCTTGTATAGATGTTAACCTGAGTCTCTTAGCAGGACTTCCTCATACACTTAACCCCTTATGAAGAACTTGACCAGTTTTGGAAGATGACTATCAGATGTGACTTGGCTAGATTAGGAGTTCTATTGCAAATAATAAAGAAGTTTCTAGGTCAACATTTAATTGCTAATAACAGAGGAAGACATTCAGACTCTTCATATACATGGCATGGATCCAGGTATCTGAGAAACCACCTTTCCTCAATGGGATCAGCCTTTCCGCTTTTCTGACAGAACGGACTGACTGTCAATATCACCAGCCAAGAAATTTTGGCTGGCAGGATCCAGGAGAAGAACCTTTTCTATTATGCCCCCCACCCCCCACCCCCGCTCTCTAAAATATCTTACCCCTAGAGGTGAGATCTCTTCTGGCCTTAAAACTTAGCTATGCTGTTGGCATGAGAACCTGAAGGAGAAGCTGTAGACTGGTGGTGGCTGGTGCAGTAACACAGGAGGGGCCACCACTATCCCACTCCAACCCCCTTTTCTGAGTTTGTTCTTAATATTTTCTAATTTTAATCTGTTTTTATATTTATAATTGTTTTCATATCTGAATGTTTTATTATATTGTGTGATGACCCGGGGCGTGGCACGAAGGCAACACAACCAGAGAACTGGTAAGAATCCCTTTATTGGCACCAACTCTGCCCCCAACGTCCCTTTTGTGGCCTGGAGAAAAGCTCTCCCAAAAACCTGAAGATAATTCAGTCCCAACGCTGTATACAGAATGACTGCAATCAATCACTCCAGCAGGAAAAGATAAAGAGTTCCAGATGGGAAGAATAATCCCTGCAAGACAAGCTAGGCACACAGTAGCATGTCAGTAATTCACACAATCAGGAGGGAATGCCAGGAATGCAGGCCACAACTCTCAGCACCAGATTAATTCAGCATTTGTTCCCGACAAATGCCCCTCCCAACTGCCTCTCTTTTAAACTCCATCCCCAGGTGTGCCTTGTGAAGGGAATTGGGGCCATTTCCTTCCTCGTAAGCCACACAACCCACGTTGCTCTCTTCCACATTCTTCCCTGTGTGCTCTAGGATGAGGATGGGGTGGGCCTTGGTCTTCATTAGAATCCTCCCTTGTTCTACCTCTCCCCTGCTTTGCCCAGCCTGACTTTGCCCTTTCCCAGTTTTCTCCACAGCCAACGGAGCCACTTTCTCGCTCTCTGTCAGCTGTTCGTCTTTCATCTCAGAGTCAGACTCCGACAGGGGCATGAAATTTTGTAAGTCTCCCAGAGTTGCCTTGAACTGCAAGATGGGTGGCATATAAATGTAAACAAACAAACAAACAAACAAATATTTGCATTATTCGGGGTCTTTTTCTCCTATCTTTCTAAGCTAGTGAGTGCTTAGCCAGCCTTGGGAGACATTATGTTTTCAGAAAGATGCTTTTTAAGCATGGAAATGGCTAATTTTAGCCAGTTTCA